ATAGTTTTGCCTATTTTTTTTTATTTCGTTTGAAATTGATTTAAAATACTTTTAAACATAAAATAATATTTTGTTTTATTATTGGTTTCTTTATTTTTGGAATAAAACAAATTATTAAAATTAATAGAAATTCCTTTTGTTTGGAGATCAAACAATATGACGATTTTAGAATGCTTTTACCTATTGGTTATATAACCAATATAAATTAACCTGCGTTTATTTAAACCATTTTAATGTTTTATTGTGTTGAATTTAACCACTTTATTTACCTATCGGTAACTCTTTGGTTTTGGTTTAAATTCGGTTAATGTAACACATTATAGTTAATAATTACCAAAATTAGTTAAATTAAACTAACAAACTTACCTAAAAAAAAATTCCACCCGATCTTACGTAGGCTCCATTATCACACAAAACTCACAACCTATACTCTCTAAAAATGAATTAGTCAAAAGTAACTAATTTAATAGTTAATAGTGGCTGCTTTTTCACTTGTGCCATGGTTAACCATGGAATACCATGGTATCTATAGTCGTCAAAAGTTAAAAAAGTGGAACAGTTTTTGAGATATAGTCAATTTTCCATTTAATATGGAATTGACTATATCTCAAAAACTGTTCTACTTTTTTAAATTTTGACGGTATTTTCTGATTCAGGGGAAAATTTTACATAAGAATTGGCTGTTAAATTTTGGGATACCATGGTATTCCATGGTTAACCATGGCACAAGTGAAAAAGCAGCCACTATTAACTATTAAATTAGTTACTTTTGACTAATTCATTTTTAGAGAGTAGGTTTATATATAAAGCTGTATTGAGACTAATTTTTCTATGAAAGTAGCAATGAAAACTTTTTTTAAGCAGTTTATTAATTAACGTTAATTTCCCAGCGAGTTAAAATATATTTGGTAAAATATAACTTGTTGGTTAAAAAATATAAATATATCCAAATTAACCAAAGTTGTGGTTAATTTACCTTAAAGTTATATCAAAAGTTTAACTAAACCAAAATATGTTTAAGAAAATAACCAGTCTAAACCATTTTTAAAGGTTTTAATTATAAGTTGGTATGTGTCATAAAATAACCTACTTTTCAACTTGTAAGTAATATAGATAAATTAAGGTTATTTCAAGAGTTTAAATTGACTATAAATAAACCAAATATTTAACTAGTTAGTAATATTACCAATTCTTTTATTAGTTAGTTATACTTTGAATTTACCTTAAGGTTATTGCAACAGGTTGGTAAATTTCAAATGTTATTTTTTAGTTTATAGTAACCTTAAAAATGGCAATGTTTAGTTATTTAATAACAAATTTACTACTAAGTCAACTTTAAAGTATTTTTTACGGTTAACCAAAAACGGTTTTATAACGGTATAGATACGAAAAATTACCAAATTTGGGGATGGTTTATTTCGTTATTTTACCTACATAATAACCTTTTTGATCTACTAAGAGAATAACGTAATAAAAACAATATAAATACCACAAATTTACGTAAAAATAACGCTATAATTACTAACTGTTTGCTCTCTCTTTCTTAAACGTTTGTAATTTCTTTCTTCTTTTAATTTATATTTTACAAAATTGTACTTACAAAGTAATAAAGGCCACCCTAGAGTAAAATTAAAAAATATAACTTAAATTGTCAAAAATTATAATATTTTGCGTTAAAACTCAAACGCACATTATTTTATTGATAAAAATAGGCACGATACACCTTAAAATTTTTATGCCCTCCAAATATTTTACGGTTTTAAGAAAAATTATTGCTTGGGTAAAAATTCAACAAAACTTAAAACCTACAAAATTTTATAACATTATGACGACATGAAAAAAAATTCCCTTTATTTTCCACTTAAAGCTTATTTTTCCTTGTTTAGTCAATAATAATAGTATTTATTACCACTAATAACCCTAAAAAAATATCAGGCGAGTAGAAATTATTTACGGTTATAAAGTGGTCTTAATATCGTAAAATTATGACTTATGAGTAACATTTACCATTAAGTAAAAATTCTGACGTTAAAATTACCGTTAAATTTTCCTTTAGGTGAAATACACTTATCAAACAAAATATTTACTTAAATTAAGTAATATTGTCTCAAAGCTCTACGCTTTTACTAAAAATGCTGCTTGGGTAATTAATGTAAATCAAAGGCTCATGATGGGCGAATCATCGTGGAAGAACATATGGCGTGACGATGATTGTGTGGATCATCACTTTTCATCGACCTTATAATTTAAAATGATTTATCAATTGCATTGTGATGCATCCGAGCGGCGGTAAAAATCAGATCGATCAGAAATGCTCGTAATTGACAGCTCTTTGGCTATGGTAGACATTTTTTATTTTTTCTCTTTCATCCTCACTCCTCTTTATATAACCACCTGAAAACGGTTTGACGCTAAAATATTGTAAAGGTGTGAACGCCATAATTCATTAGAAGATGATATTTCGATGAAAGTGTAACATTTGCGTGGGTCCTAAATTGTTTACGGCTGAGCCCATAAATTTTAAAAACACCTACTAAAACGATGTTATTAATGGTAAAATTATCCTCGGGCTTTTTGCCTTCAATTGTATGACTTATTTTTAGTTTTGTACAGCACTTTAAACCTTAAAAGTTCCCAGTACATTTTTACCATAACTTCAATATTTTTCCTAAACTCCCAGGTGTTAAATTTGTACTAATCATTCCCCAAAAAACATTGATAAATGATACCCGCGTGAACACAATTTGTTATATTTTGTACATTTTGAGTTCACGCCCATTTACTCAACAGATTTTTTTGAAAAGCTTCCTCGTTTTCCGCAAGTCACCTCTACACACAAAAGTTATAATCCCGAGCATTTTGATGCCTATAAAAAACCCAACAGCTGAAACTTATTAATGATGTATGTTTGTTCTTCATTCGACACAGAATAAAATATAAATAAATTATGTATTTATTTTTACAAATTTATATTAATATTATGTAAACTAGTGTTTTTAAGAACAGTTAACATTTTTGTTAAACATAACCGTAAAATTTGTAAAATGTATAGTGTCGCAAATATTACACGTTTTAGAATATTTTATTGATTTTTTATAAAAAATACTGTTCTATCTGTATTAGGGTGTCCATTATTTACCAAGTTGTCTGTTTTCACTTTGGTATCAAAAACAATTTTGAACAAAACAATTTTAATAATCAGCTGTCAAACGCTTATGTTACAAATGAGTGTTTTTGAGAATAAAGCCAGAAAATGTTAAAAAATATCGGAAAAAATCTTCACTCGATTTGTTGTGTTGTTGGGTGTATTTCGAGAGGAAATCCTGGGTTGAGTTTTTACCGGTTTTCCAATAAACAGTGTTAATCTAAATAAAGAAATAAATTGCATACAGTCTCTGTAAATATAAATTGTACCTATTAGATACAATAAATACACATTTTAGTAGTGATTAACGTGAAAAGGGTAAACATTTCAATTCGGTAAAAATCGTCAAACAAATAAGTCGTTTAAATTTAAACAGCATTTAGCATTATTAAAAAAGTTGATTAAGAAAGTCTTCACTCAACGGTAAAGTAGCATTTTATTATGTATTATATATAATATTATGTTGTCATGAATTCGTAGGTATATTTTGTTGTTTAAAATGCAGTTGTCGGCGTTTTTTAGAGAACTCAAATATAAAAATTGTTGATTTTAAGGTTATGTTCGTGCAATAATTATTTTTTACTAATTTCTTAAAAATGTCCAAACTTAAATATAAATTATATTAGGTAAAGTTATCATTAGTTAATTCTGCACCAACAAATGTACTTACCGAATTGGATCCTTTGGCAAAACATGAAAATGCAACGATTTAGTTCTTGAATTTTATTTACAATTTAAAACACAATAATTCAACATGATCCCTTAGATAAAATACACACACTAACGTAACTATATAAGCATTTAAGCGTTGACTTTCTTAATTAATGATATAAGGAATAATCAATCGAAATCTAATACCAAAAAAGTTTTTTTAATTTTTTCCTTGCAACGTAAAACACAAATAACGTGCGCGATTTAGCTGTGCAATTGAACAAAATATGTCGAGTAAGACTTCTGCCTTTATTTATTTTGTAAAAAAACTACCTATTTATTTAAACATTATGTATAATCTGTGCTTTAAATGTATTGTTGGCAATTCTTAAATTCACGCAATGCTATCGAAGTCACTAGATGGCGCGCGCGTTGCGAAAACCCGATAGTTCTTTAGCGTATAAACTAATAATTTAAATGATAAACAAGTGAAAACAGCCAACTAACTAAATAACGGAAACCCTAATCTGTATCTTAAAAACTCATACATTATCATTGCCTAAATCTCCTATTTAGGAATAGTTAATTAGTTTCAAGGTAAATCCCAACGAAATTCTCATTTTTACAAGATTCTATCTTATGCAGTTGTCTTACACATTGCCGTGTTTTTATTGTTTTTTGTAATGCAATTAAAATTATTAATTGCTGCTTTTGAAATAATTTGTGAAGATTTAGATGACCCGAAGATTTTTTTTCGCCACAACAAATGTCAATCGAACGGTTTAGTGTAAAGTTATTAAATACCTTTTTATTAAGAAAAACGTTAGGTATGTGAGAAACTCATCTTGTGTATCGAGGTCGCGACCTCTTCAATGACCTGAATAGGATCATAAAGATCCAAGTTTCAAATACTGCGGCGACCCAAAAACTCGACAAAATTAAACATATTTTCTAATTGAAATCAAATGACTGATAAAATGTTATCGCAATAAATCCAAAGCGTTGGAATTTTAAACAATATTAAACACTGCAACATTTTACTGCCCTCTAAAAAGTTTACTGCAAATTGTCTATCCGTGAAAAATTTATATTATCCACACAACTGTACAAAAACAATAAACGACAGAGGGCAAATTACTGTCCGTTCTCATATAAGTCAACTACTGGTTCTTTGACACCTTAACAATAATTTTTTTTTTTTTAGATGAACCAAACATGCAAAGTTTGCGGGGAACCAGCGGCGGGTTTCCATTTTGGGGCCTTCACATGTGAAGGATGCAAGGTAAATATCAAAAACATGTACAAATTTTCCATAATATTAATAAAAATGTAGGTATGGATTAATATAACAACCATTACGCTTGAAAATAAAAAGTAAATCAATATGTATTTATATTATTAATGTTAGAAGAACATGACCTACAGCCGTAAATTATTGAAATATGATATAGGTCGGGTATGGACATCCTTTTAACATATTGGTATTTATTGATTATTAAGGCTTAAAGAAAGGAAGTATAATACTTACCAAAAAATAAGAATGTCCTCTTATGGATTCAGCCTAATTAAAATCTAACTGAACAAAAATGCCACACTTCCACAACGCGGTATCACAACCAAACATTTTAAAACGCATTTCAGTTATTACCAGTTATTTTGCCACTAATTTAATTTTTAATTTAACTTTAATTGTGATACAATGTGCACTAGTAGTGTAAATAAAAAAGAGCTCTTAGTAACATCAAAACAAACAAAGAAATTGACATGCACTGTAGTGTACATTTTGTAACTATAGTGATATATTTAACTTTTTATAGTGATATATTTAACTTTTACACTTACAAATCAACTCTAATATTTTTACCCCTACACTAAAAAATTTACACGGGCAAAATTTTTTACTGTGTATATTAAAAAAAAAACGCAAAAATAAAAATCCATAGGAGTCAAATACGAGCTCCGTGGCGGCCACAATCAAAAACAATCGAAAACAAAATTGACACCCTATATCTTGGTTATTATCTACTTATGGGACAAGTTTCAACTTAAAGACTCTTTTCTTTATCCCATAACTTTTGGACCACCCTGTGTAGACTTATAAGTGTTGAAAATTATCATACGCTTAAAAAATAAATAATAGTATATTAATACTTAAAATTTCTTGCACACGGCTGACATAATTTAATGGTATTACAAAACAAACGGATTTACATAAAAAATAGCAGTCACATAGGTGATGTTCGTACAATTGTATTTCGTGTATTAATGGCTAATATTTATTTTAAATTGAGGTCTGTAAAATTGCTTGATTTACTTATTAAAGTTAACAAAGCGGTCACGTAGAAACCAACTCATTTAAACTAATTTGCAAAAAATAGAAACAATAGAATTTGCAATATTTACATAAAGTCTATATTTATATGCAATTTAGACATTACATTACACAGTAAAAAAAATTTTGTTAATTTTAACCAAATATTAACCAGAATTTTTGTTAATCCAAGTCCACATAATTTTATGATAAGTTTACTGTAATCTGTTAACTAATTAAATTAGTAGTTTGTAATCATAATAAACATTTTGTAGATTTAATAACAAAATCCTATGTTATTAATTCAACCATAGTTCTTGTAATTTTCAAAAAGGACCTTATTGTAGACCCAGCAACAAAAGTATTTGTTGGAAATTGAGAACTTTACATCAAATAACATTAATTGTTAAATATTTTTTAAAGATAAATTGCTGTTTTAGTAAATATATCCAGGACATTTAGCAGTCAATTCCTATGAAATATTATTCGCTGAATCCGAAAATGTAGTCAAAAGTTATAAAAGTAGAACAGTTTTTGAAATATAATCAATTTTACATATAATATGGAATTGACCATGTCTCAAAACCTGCTTAAATTTTATAGTTTTTGACGGTCTTTTTGGATTCAGGGGACAATTTTACATAAGAATTGGCTGGTAAATGTCCGGGATACAAATAGAGTATGATATTGGACATATCGATGACTTTTTGTCAAAGTATTGCAAGCAACATAACTTAAATTTCGGGAATTGAAAACATTTTTTATTTTAAAGTCTGTTTTAAACCATATATAACCTATAGGTTTTATAACAAGTAAATAGCTATAATTATAAGCTATTTACTTGTTATAAAACCTTTAGGCTATATTTAATTTAAAACAGACTTTAAGACAAAAAATGTTTTCAATTCCCGAAATTTGAGCTATGCTGCTTACGATACTTTGGCAGAAAGTCATCGATATGTCAAATAACAGAAATTTACATTTTTTACCAACCAGTAATTGGACACAGGGCATTTTACTGTTTGTTTTCTGAATTAAAATTAAAACGCATTACTTTCCAACGAAATACTTTGTTAAACATTAACAAAATAATCTGTAACCTTTAAAATTACAAAATTACATATAACCTTTACAAAACTTACCTTTGTTAAAATAATTACAAACCCTGGTTTTCTACAAAAAATTATACAATTGAAAAAAATGACACTTGCAAAAACTGTGCGTACGTATAGACGTAGAAGAAGTCGCATGCATTGAAGACCCACTTGCATAATAAAGTTCGATTTTTAAATCCTCAGACCGTGAAAACTCGGCCGTATTACACGCTTCACGGCCGCACTATTGTCAATTGTTCTCGTAGCGTGTTTGTTTTTATTTAGTTATTTCGAGTCTATCAGGGAGCCACGAATGAAATCGAGCACATAGTAACATTCGGCTAGACAAAAGTTTCAATGAACATTTTTTATTTTTAGATTTACTAATTTGTCTTTTTTCTAAAAAAATAATATTAATTTAACAAAAAAAACAGTAAATAATAATATAAAAAAGAAGCAATGCAATGGGCTGATATGCTTGGCTGGATAAAGGCGCGTGGTACAAGCAGTAACAAAGCAGAAAGAGAATAGAGTGAAGACGCTGTTTTTTTAACTTAATTTTTCTACTTGATAAAGGACAACTTTGGTGATATGTTAAAATTTTCCCCTATATCAAAACAAAACACAAAGTGCTTAAAGTAATTTTCGCCATGTTGGCATTTTCAGAAGCGAAGTGTAACTATATATTAGGGTGATTCATTTCCGCAAAGTTTTTGTTTTCTTCGGTGCTCAAGCAAAATATTAATCTGCGTATAGAAAAAAAAATTCTCAACAAGTTTGAGCTAGGTACTTACTATATAAATTTAAAGTTTTACCGTTTAAAATTCATGTAAAAAATATATTTTTTTTTTCAAATTTCTAATGCTTACCCACCTTTGACAATATTGCAAATCGGTTTAATACACCTTATGGGGAATTTCACGCTCTTTAAAATTGCTTTTGAGTTTTTTTGTAACTCGCATTGGTTCACCAGTAGGAGTCGTCAAGGGACAGTTTTAAAAAAAAATCGTTTTTTTTTTTAATTTTTTCTAATAAACCGCAAAAAGTAGGGAGAAAAAAGGGCTGAATCATAAAAAAAGTTATCTAACCAATATTTAATGAATTTACATCCATTTTTATAACTGAAACCGTAAGAAATTGATAATTACCAACTCATAATGTTATTTAGATTGATTTTTTCTATTTATTATCATTATATTTCCCTACACTAAGAAGTTTTTTAAAATTATTGATTTCTCACTTATAATGAATATGAAAACAACAGATAAATTCATAAAAAAACAATAAAAAAATTGTAACGTGGATTTTTCAATTTTTTAACATTTCTGTCATATAGCAAAAAAATATAAATGAAGATTATTTAATTTTTTGAAGCGAAATTTGAAATATGTTACATAACCTTCTGTATATTCCGATTAAAGTTTTGTTGTTTTTTTTTTATGAATTTATGTGTTGTTTTCATATTCATTATGAGTGAGAAATCATAATAATTTTAAAAAAGTTCTTAGTGTAGGGAAATGTAATGATAATAAATAGAAAAAATCAATCTAAATAACATTATGGCTTGGTATTTACCAATTTCTTACGTTTTCAGTTATAAAAATGGCAGTAAATTCATTAAATATTGGTTGGATAACTTTTTTTTATGAATCAGCCCTTTTTTCTCACTATTTTGGCGATTTGCTCGAAAAAATAAAAAAACGATTTTTTTCAAAAACTGTCCTTTGACGACTCCTACTGGTGAACCAATGCGAGTTACAAAAAAAAACTCAAAAGCAATTTTAAAGAGCGTGAAATTCCCCATAAGGTGTATTAAACCTATTTGCAATATTGTCAAAGGTGGGTAAGCATTAGAAATTTGAAAAAATATAAATATTTTTTACATGCATTTTAAACGCTAAAATTTTAAATTTAAATAGTAAGTGCTTAAAATTAATATTAAGAGCTCAAACTTGGTGAGAATGTTTTTTCCTATATGCAGATTAATATTTTGCTTGAGCACCGAAAAAAAACAAAACTTTGCGGAAATGAATCATATATAGTGGTGTTAGGTTGTCAAAATGTTAAATTTAGAAAAATTAAACTAAAAACAGTCTTTCGTTTCTATCGACTTGGCAGGTATTTAAAATTCAATTGATATTCCTGCAAAGTGTCATTGGTTTGTGTGTGGCCGTTGCGTTGCTTAACATCAAAGATAGCTTTGCCATGCGATATAGGAAAAGTAATGACGCCAAACTATTTCATTAATGGATTAGTGTTTGGTCGTTTGTTGCCATGCCGCGTTACAATTACAATAAAAACAGGTTAATGAATATGCTAGTATCAACTATTGCTAAATGATGTATTTCGATAGCAGCTAAGGTCTTGCAAAAACTTCGGAACTAGTGAACTAGATAACAATTTTATTGTGTCGCAGTTGGCTATTTGTCAACTTTGCACGCGCACCAGATCGCAGCACGATTAAAAGGACAAATTACTCAAATCGCAACATTAACTTTTTTTTCACTTAATGCGTTTCAAATAAACTACAGTAAATTAAGTAGAGCAGAAAGCAACAAGTTTGCATAATATGCCCCTAGTTAACACCTTATCTCATCACTTATGATGTTTGCATTATTTATGGACAATTATAGTTGCCTCACACATACTATTGTTTCGTCTCGTAATTAATTTAACACCTTTATTCACTTTTCCTACCATTCTTATTTACATATGCTAAATACCATTTTTTTCGTCCTCAATATTGGCAAAACTGTCTACATTTACCTTACTTTACTCCTAAAAATGAATTAGTCAAAAATTATAAAAGTAGAAACAGTTTTTGAGATATAGTTTTCCATTTAATATGGAATTGACTATCTCAAAAATTGCTCTACTTTCAGGCTGTTAAATTAAAATATTTATAATTCTAAAAAGTGTACAGATCAGTGTGTGGTATAAATAGGTTTCTCATGGTTTAAACATTGTTATTTTAATGCGTTTTAATTTTAATTCTGTAAACAAACTGCTTGGTAAAAAATGTAAATTTCTATTATTGGACATATGTCCAATATCATACTCTATTTGTATCCCGGACATTTACCAGCCGATTCTTATGTAAAATTGTCCCCTGAATCCGAAAAGACCGTCAAAAACTATAAAAGTTAAGCAGTTTTTAAAATATAGTCAATTTCATATTATATGTAAAATTGATTATATTTCAAAAACTGTTCTACTTTTATGACCTTTTCTGATTCAGCAAATAATATTTCACAGGAATTGACTGCTAAATGTCCTGGATACAAATTGCTGTTGACGAGAATTATTAGTGGCTTTTTCGCTATGACATTTTTGACTAATTCATTTTTAGAGAGTAGGTAATATAGTGATTTCTTCGTCACAGGACATCTTGCAGAATAACAGTGATTTAAATACAGTGCATGATAGAGAACATGAAAAACTAATGGCAACAAAATTAATAAATTCGGAAAATACTTTTAACATACCAGCCGAAAAAATATCAGATATATCTAATATATATAAATCATCCTGTTCAGTCCTAAACATTACAAATGCTTCACAAACTAGAGATACCACACTTAATGATATTTGCAACAAACTATTTCAGAAGTCACACCAAGGAATTAGTAGTTACCTTTAGAATTCAGAAAAGGGATGAGGAATCCGAGAAAGAAATATATGAATTACATGATATTTACAAAAACGAAATAAAAAAAAATACCTAAAACAGCAATTTATCTTTAAAAAAATATTCAACAATGTATGTTATTTGATGTAAAGTTGTTATGTTTATATAAAAATTGTATGTCCATGTATCCAATTACTATATAAAATGTCCAATTACTATACTTTTTGCACGTTTTTATAAAACTAATATTAAAAATTCAAATATTCTTCATAATATTCCTGGAGTGTCCAATAACTATGTGGTTTACCCTAGTCATTTTTGACTAATTCATTATTAGAGAGTTAATAAATAATCAAAAGGTAAATTCATCAGCCCCTCTCATAAGCAAAGCTCATGGGTAATTGCGCTCAATTATCAGGCGATTACACACTTGGCCGGTAGAGCGCGCCCACGGCATCAAGTGACAAGTGTGTGTGCAACTCATTTGTTTTACTTCGTCGTTACGTCACCTCTTTGTTTCCGACACACTGATCCATTTAACCGTTGGATTAGAATGACCCACTAATCGATAGAATCGAAAAGGAAATGCGTTTCGCAACCGTTTTGCTATGCATTTATTAACGTTTTTTTTCTTCTTTGCAGTCGTTTTTCGGGAGATCATACAACAATTTGAGCTCGATATCGGAGTGCAAGAACAATGGCGAATGCGTGATAAACAAAAAGAATCGCACGGCGTGCAAGGCGTGTCGCCTGAGGAAGTGCCTCTTGGTGGGCATGTCGAAATCGGGGTCGAGGTATGGAAGACGATCCAACTGGTTCAAGATCCATTGTCTACTGCAGGAGCAGCAGCAGCAGCAACAGGCCGGCAACAACATGTTAAAACCGCCGCAGAAAATGCCGTCGCCTCACCAATCGCAGCTGAACCATCTCAGCCTACTGGGCCACCAAACGTTCCCGTCGCAGCTGATCCCGCACCTGCCCAAAACCAAGGAAGAGCTGATGCTGCTGGGTTTAGACGAGTACAAACACTCCGCATCACCGTCGGTGAGCTCCCCGGAATCGCACAATTCTGACTCATCAGTCGAAGTCAGCGACGCTAGGCGGATGCCTCTCTTCGCTCTGCCCGCCTTCCTGCCGCCCCCGGGCCTCCTGTTCCCGCCGGGGTACCCGCCTCTGTACGGCGGCGGCCTCCTGCAAGCGGTGCAACCAGGCAACAACAACAACAGGCTGATGAGGAACCACAACCAAGGCGTCGTGGAAGCCGCCTTCAACAAGCGTTTACTTCTCGACGCGGTGCTGCAATCGCAGAGATCCTTAACCCCCGAGGAGATAGAGACCCCCGTCCCGGTGAGGGAATCGCCCGTACAGAGCGACCCCATCGATCTAAGCATGAAGACTACCAGCGAGAGGAGCTCGTCCCCCGCCCACTCCGACAAGTCGGGGTCTCTTCCCACGGAAAGAAGCGCAGGAAGTGAAGCTGACGAGGAGAGCGATTGCGATTCGGAAAGGGAGTTGAAGAGGATAAAAATCGTCCGCCCTACGCCCTTAGATCTTACCACCAAGGTGTAATGGAATTCCATATATAGTATTAACTCTTGATTCAGTGTGTTTTTAAATGTTGCGATAGTACAGTCGCGGCCAAATCTGTCAGCGTTAAGGTCTATTCATACGTGCACAGGCCCGATCTAACGCTCGTGTATTGTTGACGTTTTATAGCAGTTGGGGCTGTTTTTTAAGATGAAATTATAATATCATCATATCTATATTCATCTTATAAGTTCGTTAAGGGCAAATTTTGATTAAATGTGTTTAGAGAGAGAACAAACGGAGTAATATATGTTATAGTTATATACAAGCCTTCTAAAATTGTTTTCAAAATCCAGTGGTAGAAAATGATAAACACAATGTTTAAAATTATTTACAAACGATGCTTACAGACAAAATGTCAAAATTACAAAAAAACGTAAAATATAAAATGCGCGCCAGCCTTAAGCTATTAGCAACTGGCACACACAAAACTACTAAGTGAATGTTTTTCTTTCATAATTTCGTAAAAAACAGGGAAACGGATACAGTTCTTGGTACGCAATGAATGATATATTTTATAACACATCAGTATTACGCCTTAAAAAAGCAAATTTAACGGCAGTAACTTTACAATTCAAAGTTGGTAATGCTGAAGACATTATATTGATGACGTGCACCCATGCAGATTAGGGCGCGACTATATTTGCTATTATTTGAAACACCAGTGGTTGAGTATCAAACTCTATATTGTATGTATTTGTAAATAGTATTTAAATTAAATTAATTTGTATAAAAAATCTAGTGATATATTTCAACTGCTCTGTTGTTTGTTAATTTCGCGGCCAGTACACTTATTGTGTTTAGTATGTACATAGTTTTTATCTTGAGCAGTGCAATGTTGGATTTGTTTTTAATTTATTTATAATTTGACGCGATCATTGTTGTCGAAATTGGCCAATATACTTGGGCATTTTATACGAATACAAATTGTATTTTATATTATATATATGTTATTAATGATTATTGTTTGTTTTTATTTTTCGGATGTCTTTGTTTTGAAAAATCCAGTCTGATTTTGGGGACTAGGGCCAGTTGAGTGAGATTGAGAATGAATGCAAATGTTGTATGTAAGAAAAAATAAAACAATATGTATCAATATAATGCGTTTTTTTATTTGTCCCAATTTTTTTCATTCCATTACACAGTAAGTAAAAGGTCATGCTATCATCAAAACCATGAAAAAAGTTACGTACTATTTATAAATTAGTTACATAATATTTTAGATGTACATACATTGTACATTCTAGCACGTGTCTAAAAAATTAAATTGTTTTTATTAAATTTATGCGAAATAGATAAGAATGTAGTGTGATATAGAGGCGCAAAAAATGTATGTATAGAACTTTTTATTACCACTTAATGGTGCTATATACAACACATACAACATAACAAACAAATTTACAATAAAACTTAAACCATTTTTAACGATTGCAACGTTGTAATTTGGTCAATTAAGTACACAAAACTAATTGATCGTTAATGCTTTTAAATGGGCATATTAAATAAATTATATTCAGCGTCTTGAAAAAATGAATTATAAAATAATCCTATTAACTATTCGAACATTCTTATAGAGGTTATTTAAATTTATGTGTTACCAAATAAATACCATATTTTAAACCGATATCATTTCCAAATACAACCATAAATTATTAAATGTATTAAGTAGTTTTTTTATATAATAATTTAATTTGCTCGACACCTTGGTTCGTTATTAAAATTTTATTTTATAATTATTAAAAATGGTGAATGCGCTAGGAATAAAAATATTTGTATTAAATATTCCGGGTCTTTTTTTAAACATTAATAGGGTTAATTTTACATATTTTTAAAAAATATATTAGTAAACAAATCGTTCAAATAGCAACAGCACATTTTGAAAATATATTTTTTTGATTGTTAATAATGCTTTTAAGGTTACACTAGGATTTGTTTAAAAAAAGAACATACATTTATTATTAGTAAAAAATGTTTTGTACAAAACTAAGTAAAAGCAAAAACTATGTTCTATTTCTCAACTTTCTTACATACATAAGTATATTTAATATATTTTGTGTATTTTAAACATGTTCATTAAAAAAAGTGAGTTTAAGAAATTTTCTTATAAAAAGTTTATTCTCGACTTTTTATCTGGGCCCAGCTTGTCCAATTTTTAACAAGCAATAAATTAATAAAAAGTTTTAGTTAAGAGTAATATTAATAAAATAATAATAAAAAGTCAAAATAAACCTTGTCTCGTTGAATTTATTTTTGGTATACCAAACATTTTTTTCCAGCTTCTTTGAGGTAAAATACATTGACTAGGAAAATTACTATTAAAAAAGTTGAGTACATTATTTTAAATTGGCTATGTACTGTCAGAAACAGAAAAGGTGGAAGGTCGAAAAAACTTCCCTATAAGTTTATTATTATTTCAAAAATATATTATAATTTATTTCTTTGGAATTGTTCCCTGGGTCACACAATATGTGATCCAGGGGAAAAAATGTATGTTTTAGAACATAATAAAAAATTGTAATTTTGCCCTTAAAACCATTACTAGGATACCTACTTTTGAGAATCAAACAAAGTCCAACTGGTACCTTTACTAAGTTCCAAATGGCTTTAAACTCATTTTTTTATAAAATATTAAAGTTGAGTTTTTGCGTTGTGAGAACCGTAGTGTATGTGCAATAATAAAAATGACGTTTACATTTAGAACAATAAGTACTATAATTGCTTTTAAGAACCTTAATTAAATATTTAGGTTTCCATAATGGTAAGCAATATAATGCATATATCGCCTTGAAAATTTAGCAATTACGTTTTTTTGTATTTTATTATTTATTTTGTGAATATTAAATTGTATTTTTATCTTTTGATGATGTTATACATAATTGGTTTTACAGACAAGTCCTTACTTAACCTTTCATTTCAATTTGTAATAATAATAATAAATAAATTAAAAAACTTATTTTTTTTTAATTTAGTTTTTATCTTTCCATATCTATAATACACAACCTTAAGCTATGCAAAATTGGTACAGTTTTGTGTTTTTAATTGGGCTAACCTTTAGAATAATTGGTGTTTAGTTGTTTTCTTATTTTTTTTAATTAACGACAAATCTTCCCAAACGTTATGCAATGGGATCCAAATCAATTAAATAACAATGCACATTGTACATTATAATATACAGGGTTTTATAAAAAAATCACCCAAATAAGTTGTTTTCAAAATACAGAATTTATCCCATTTAAGGTTTTTACTTTGTATATGTTTTTAAAGTTAAAATAAAATAAAAAAAGGTCTTTCGGCCTAACATGTATTTAGATGCTAAAATAAAACTTTTAATTTGCCAACCTAATGATATCATGATGTTTTAGAAACTGTATTGATTGTTGAAAATAAATAACTTAGTTTATTAGCGTGTTGTTATTGTTAATTGTGGTGATATTTGGATGATTGTAGTCATAAATTTCTTATTAGTAAAGTTCGAAAGTGACTAACGACGTCAATAAAGTGAATCGAAAAAATTATTACAAAATCGGATTTTTAAATTGTTTAATGCTAATTTACGGCCCCAATAAAATTTTAATAGTTGTTCTCTCCTGAATCCTCAGTCATTATTTAGACATTTTTCTTTTATTTGTATTTGTCCTCTATTCAAAATATATTTTTAATTGGTTTATGGAGGCAATTAATGTTTTATTAATTTTTTAATGGCCAATTTTCTACGACTCGCGTTTGTAAATAAACACACAAAACCACCTGTTGTAAAACGCGAATAACAAAAGAGCAGCGCCATTGAATAATATAATTCAATTGATTGAAACATTTTATGTTAAAGATCAAAGACACTTTTGATTGTAAATTCTATACAGGGCGATTGAAAGTCATTCACAAGAACACTGGGAAACACAAAAAAGGTCACACTGCTAAAAACGATGTATACAGGGTGTTTCGCATTCGTGGTCCAAGTACCTTGGCGTGTCACAACTCCTGAATTAAATATTTGAGTGAATTTATTTTAAAATAAATTCAATTTATCTTAAATTTTTCAACTTCACTACAAACTATAAAACAATAAATAATGTATTTTTTATATTTTATCATAGAATCGAATAATAGCAAATTTTAAAAAATTGATAATCTTTGTACTCACTTTTACCCGTCAGTTCTGTGTCTAATGTTAAAATTCAAAATTCCTGCGAAATATTGAAGTTTAAATCCTTGTTTTAACTCAAGTGTTGGTAAAAAATTACCTACAGAGCCCGCCCTTTGCACGACAGTCATCTTGAAAGCAATGCAAGCGGCGAAGTTGTGGTGAATGCACGTATAGTTCCAGTCAAAATTTAAGTTCTGTGGTGAGTAGTTATTTTCTTACATATATATATATTTCATTGTAATTTATATAAGGCTATATGTGATTTGTTGATAAGTAGCATCCACTAATAAAAAATATCAGTAAAATACTTAATTTAGAATTATAATCTCAAATTTGTATCCCATTCATCAGTACCGTGTCGTCAGTTCCATGTTCGATGTTTCGGTTATCTTTTTTTCGCAAACTTCAATTTAAATTCTGCTTGCGCAGAACTTGTTTATTTAATGTCATTATAAACTCATATAAATTTGGTTTGGGTCCCATATCTAATAATTGAGATATCGGTATACCCAAAATCCACCAGCCGCCACTGATGTGTGGTATTATTTGATTTTAGGATATTTAATGTATAACATGCTCAAAGTTGCAATAAATCTTATATTTTCCAATACATTATGTATTTAATTAGTACCCTGGTATACTCGTCACTGCCCTTGCAATCAAATTTAGAAAACACAGATATTTCAGAAACTGTTTGAAAAAGTGACTGGCCTGATCTGGAACAGTATATTTATTATATTATATACCGAAAGTGGCATTTTGTTCAACATATTTTAGAAAAATATAAAAATGGATTATAAACGCTTTTAAAATTTCAAATCGATTTTTTTCCGGTCCCCAGAAACTTCTTATGGACCACGAATGTGAAACACCCTGTATATAATCAAATAAACACTAGCAAAAAAGGTTTAACTTAAAATGAAAACATATATTTTGACACGCGCGGTTGATTTGAGTGTCATTTTGAAAATTTATTTAATTGGGTTGAAATTTTGAATTTACAAAATTTTGTTCATGTTACAGCACTTTGAATTTTTAAAACAAAATGACGGTCGTTTTTTAAATTTGTTGTGTAATATGCTTTAAAAGCGTGAATTCCAAAATTTCTTCCTTAAAATTGAAGATTCAAAGTTTAATTGTAAAATTAATGAAAACCAATTAATTCTCATTATTAACCTAATTAGGCTTATAAATAAATTAGCGTTCGTCAGATATGATCAACCTTGTATAATAATAAACATTGGCATACTTAATTGCAACATGTTAGATTATAAACAATATGTATTATGTTAAATAAACGCATAAGAATTAGAAAATTTTGAAATTCTGTTTAGTAGTTTTTATCTTAAGGTGGCTAAGAGGTAGCTTAGGCAACCGGCCTTGACTGCTAATTCCGTTTTACATTAATAATTTTCATTGTTTGTTATCTTTCCTTGTCTCTTGATCTTTGAACGGAAAACGCTGGTTTTGAAACCCATTCATAAAAAATATTTTTTTTTATTGAAAAATTAAAAGTACAAAGAATACTGCTTATTAATAAATGCATAAAATAAACTGTACACTGTTCAAAATTTCATGACCATTTTAACACCAAATTAACACCATACATGGTCTATATCGATACAAACCAAAATGGTGTTAAATATGGTTCGTTGGTCCAGTGTCAATTCAAATACTTAAATAGTGTAAATTTAACTTTTAAACAGTATTAAAATAAATTTTACCCCTCCTAAACTCCTTTTCAGTGTAAAATATTATGTGTTTTTGGTCAAATTAAATCATACTACAAAGAAAAAAAGGAAAAAAAGGAAACAGGAAGTTCCTTGACGCATTACTAGTATATTACCAGTGGTATTATTCCACAAAATTAATTCTTCAACTCGCTAGAGATAATGGTTTTAGTGCGTTCCACCAACTTAAAATACTTCAA